TCTCTCTCTCTCTCTCTCTCTCTCTCTCTCTCTCTCTGTTTTGTTGTTTTATTTGTTATTTTGGTTTAGACCAAAATCAATTGTACGAATGAATGTTCATATTAAGTTATTTATTTACGGTAATTAAATTATCAAATAATAAACAGTTTTATAAACAAAAAAACATTAAAAACAAAACTAAAAGCGAAATCAAATAAATGAAAACTTGAATGAGAAATACATAACAGTATTAGAGGTTATGTGTTAGAGATTAATCGGAATGAGACAATGAGTGGACATAGTCTGTAGGGAACGGTAGTTCACTTTCCACGCATCCGACGGAAGGGTTGTCTTACGAATGCCTTCACAGTCTTCTTGGGTGTCTTGTTCTGGCAGTCAATGAAATGCAGTTTATGTCCCAATCGGTGAACGAATCCACAGTAATATCCTTTTGTACAACACTTGTATTGCTTGTTCGCGACGCCCCTACAGACCACACACCAGCGCCTCCTCTTCACGCTATTCATACTCCTCTCGAACTTCTTCTCCACGCTCTTCAACCTCTTCCTCCAGAACCGCTCCTCACGTCGAGAGCGCTTCAACTCGTGCTTCAGTGCCCCGAAAGTGGCCTTCAGTTGGTTGCAGAGCGCCAAATGGGTCCACGACTTGCACCCCTCCTCCCCCTCCCCCTCCACCACTCTATTCCTGCGCTCCTCTGCTCCGAGTTCTTCATCCCGGCGCTCGTCGTCCGCATCCCTCACCCCATCCACGATGGCCTCAAACACGAGATCCTTGCGATGACACTCTGCCATAGAGTCAGACAAACACTATCACCACTTCTGGCCCGAGAGTCAGTCATACGAACCGAGGGTGCAGTCGATGCCGACGTCCCTGTGGGTGATGAGCACCTCCTCCTCGAGCACCAGTGGTTTGGGCAGAAATTTCTGCAGCAATTGATCCACATTTGCGATACCATAGCCTCGAAGGTATTCCTCTGCGAGCTGTCGCTTCTTCTCTTCGCGAATCAGTTTTTTGTACGCTTTTCAGACACACAGACACGTCATGGAAGTGATGGCAGTGATGACTGAATGCATACCTTTATTGCTGATGAGATGCTTGCGGTCGAGAAACTCCTTCGGGATCTTCACGGACCACATGTTTGTGTCGCACGAACTGTCAGTCACTGTCAGAGTGTCACCAATGGGTCACTCATTCACTACTCATTGCAGTTATGTTCCAATCACTCACTACTCGTCCACTCATACGACCACTGCTTTCACTGTCAATGCATTCACCGCTCATACACTCATACAGGTGTCACATATGATGATCATTCAGACGACAATTATTACAGACAAACACTTACAGCACGACATAAGGCAACAGTTTATCTAAATATACATTCAATTCAGCAATTCATTGATTACAACTTTATTAAGTCTACAATAATGTTATATAATATAACTTATATTCATATAAATTATGTAAACTTTATATGTGTCTAATCTATATAACATTATTGTAGACTTAATACACTTGTAATCAATTAATTCCTTAATTCAACGTATATTTAGATAAACTTTTGTTGCCTTATGTGTCAAATGTAGTATTGAATGACAGTATTTGTTTGAATTCATTAAACATTAGTTTCAGTTATGTTTGTATTATAACTGTTATAATAAATAGTTGTTGCTCAATTTAATTATAAACGCGAATATAAATGTTTATGTTGAAATAAATTTTTAATAAATTTATATGCAATAAGAATAGTCATTAATACAAATTGAAGCAAGTACAATATTCTTATAGCTTAGAATCAATGCATATATGCCTCAACATATAATACTAGTTTGCTGTTAGTCTAGACCTATGACAGAATATACAGAATATTCTGTACTTGAGATGAATATACTGACAGTGAGTGTTAACTATAATATTCAGGGAAATGGTTGTGAATTGAATGGTAGATGAGGTGTTGGTGTGAATGAAATGATTAACACTTAATGGTATGTCTTATGAATGATAGACTCAATGATGGAAAGTATGGCTAATATTAATATTCATATGAATATTGAGTGCAATGATAGCCGTAATGATCGGTCGGTCAATGTGTCTCAGCATNGCCATGAACGCAAGGACTACTATTGCAATTGGTTCCACTCTGGGCGACACAGCCATTAGGTCCAACACCACTGCCCACATAACCGGCCGGACACCTGCACTCTCTGAACGCCGAAGAAATGGCCATATTTTCAAAGCATTGGGCAGAGGGATGACACCCACCATTGTTCATACGACAGGTGCCCACAAATTCACAAGTTATGCCTAATATTAAGAATTTTAAAATCAATTTTTTTTAATTAACATTAGCTAACAAGTAAGTCTGAACATACCGTTCCCGTTATATCCGGGCGGACACGAAGAGCATATTCTTGAGCCGACAGTATTAACGCATTGAACTCGTGGTGACTGAGAACAGCCGCCGTTGTTTGTCTCGCATTCATTGATGTCATGACAATAATAGCCATTTCCAGTAAACCCAGGAGGACAGGGACCGCAATAAAAAGTGCCAGGCAGATTTATGCACGTGACCGGCGGGTTTGCTGAGCAATGAGGCCTTTTATCTGTGCACTCGTCTATGTCTACAACACAGGCTGGACTGTTAGCATTAAAAGTCCAACCCTATGGACCAAAGTTAAAACAATGGATTCAGTATATTATAACTCAAAGAATGGAGAAGCGTTGGGCACCTGATCACAAATGCACCGATAATTGGGTAAACCGGCGATATGTCTCTGTTGGTTAAGACACGTCCCGTGACCGCAAAGGGCTTCGTTAGAGGCCGACGAGCAGTCATCGTGTTGTTCAGTGCAGTGAATGCCATACCAGTTGGCCTTACAGTTGCACCGATAGCTTCCGGGGGTGTTCTCACAGGTGGCCTCATTCTGACAGCCCAACTCTGTGCCCACAAACCGCAAACACTCGTTCACATCCGTCTCACACGTCACTCCCTAGAAGTTATTCATTACTTTCTATGCTCTACATACCTATAGGACATACCTCCCAAGTGGACGGACACTTGCAAATGAATCCGTTGTATGTATCAATACATGTGCCACCATTTCTGCATGGATTACTGGCGCACTCATCCTTTTCCAATAGCTAGTTATCGAAATTTATAATTATTACACAATTCAAGGATATATCAAAAATTAACAAAACTTTTAGTTCACAATAATTTTAGTTTTCATAAGATTTTACAATAATTCTGATACAGTAATGATATTCTGAAGGCTTACTTGAGTTAACCGATTGAGGGAACTATCGATTCGTTGAATCTTTCGAAGTGCTCTGCGAACAGTTGCCGGCGACAGTGCGTTACTACCGGTGCCGAGGATTTGATTAATTTTATTGGTGCTGTCATTGAAGGCCGTCTGTTGGACCCTCATCTCGACCACAGTATTCACTAAAT